AGGAATACTTTTTAAGTTGCTCCAAACAGTAAGAAAATGTCAGAAACTGTCAGGTAAATTGGGGGAAATGAGGGGAAGTGGATTGTACAAAATAAACCGTGTGTTCCCACGGCCCTGCAATTATAATTCTGCTCATTCCATGCAACAGAACAAGGTGAAGCTCCCAGATCAGGATCCAGTCGACAACAGGCATGGACCAATGGCCTCCACAGGCTGCTCCCATGGAACATCCTCCCTTCACCTCCTCTACCTGCTTACTCACTCATGATGATTCAATGTTTAAGGAGAGCCTACAGAGCTTAGTGAGTCAGCAGAACAACTCAAAGTGCAGGCATGGGAGAGGAACAGGATAAGGATGCCCAGTAAAATGCAGGCCAGACCCCTCCCAAAAAGGCACGGCCAGAGGAAAAGGGACACCATCTGTTAGGCTAACTCTAGCCAAGGCTTACAAATAAATGAAATACAAAAACAATCTTCATCTCAGATGTACTCTGAATGCATATTCATTTAACAAGTGCAAATCAGAACTGCCCTTCCTCTATACCTCACCATTTCAACTTAATTCAAAATACATCAACCAAGCAATTGGAAGTTTCCAAAGCACTGGCCTCACACTTCGTACAACTGAGAGGATCACTGAAAACATGCACCTTGAAATGCTGTACGCTTTCTTCACTAACAGGAATCTGGACTCCCCAAAGAAATGGCTGATTTCAGGGCTGGGGCAGAGTATACACAAGTTGACCCTGAAACAGCTCATTATGCCAGAAAGTAAAAAATGTTCTCAAAAAAAAATAATGGAAAAATACCACATAGGCAAAGAGCCAGCCTGAAGGGGCTCCCACTAGCCAACTCTGGGACAATTTGAGCACCAAAATAATTGAGTTTACTAGGGACTTATAAACCACTGGAAATCAGAAATTCATGAGTCCATACCAATAATAGACAGACAGAAATGAGGGAGGGTTCTTGCTTACAGTACCATGCTGAAAGCTGACTGGTAAACTTGGAAGGGGTACCAAGTTAGATGACACCGATTTTACACCTATCGCAAGATGGACTCCAGTAAAACTTGCCAATCGACACTAAATATTGCATTGATTTTGGTGAGAAGCAGAATATTTGCATGAACTTAAAGTGTCTCCTCATAGATTGGGAGGAAAAAAAAACAGTAAAAAAAACCAGTAATTATACAGTCAAGAAACTAAACAACATCTTGACAGAGTGATGACAATTAGCACTACCCATGGACATCATTTGCCTCCAGATGTGACATCTTGAGAAGGACACATCACCTATGAAATATTCCAACTGAAATTGTATAGCCAGAATCTGATCCATCCCCCTCGGATGGATGGGAAGGAGGAATAACAGAACCAATGCTTTATTTCACACTTTCAACAGCAAACAACCCCAAACTTAGGACCATTCTATATTTTTTAGAGGGAAGGGATGTATATCTTAAAAGCTATTTCAGTTTAAGAAAGCTAATGAATGAAATGACAGGAACTATCTGACCCTAGACTAGATCCTATAGTAGAGGACATTATAAAAGATATCGTTGAGTTAACTGGCCAACTTAGAATATAATTGTTAGATTTGATTCATAAAAACGATAATTACCAATGTTAAATTTACTAAAGTTGGTAACTGTACTGTGATTATATGAGACGATCCCAATTCTTAGGAAAGAAATATTTAGGTATTTAGAGGTAAAAGTTCATGATGTATGTAATATATCCTCAAAGTGGTTCAGAAAAACACATTGTGTGTGTGTGTGTGTGCGCGCGCACACGCGTGCACGCGCGTGTGTGTTTAGGAAACAATAAAGCAGAAAGCTGCATGTTGATTTGGGTAAAGGTACACAGGTATTCTTATGTAAGTTTGAAATTATTTCCAAACAAAAAGTAAAAACAAACAAAAATCACATGATTACATTCTTGAAACATTGTCAAGTCTTAGCTTCAAGCACATCATTCTCTTCTGGATTCCCTACTTCTTTGACTTCTCCCTAACAGGCAACTTTTCTTCAATTCATTCCCTAAAACTGATGGGTCTCTTGTTCTTAGTTTACACACTGGCCTACAAAGTCTCTCGTTCACATCTGAGGTTTGAACTACTCATAGACACACCACCACAGAAGTCCGTATTTCCAACCACTTTACTTACTGGACTTCTCCACCTGAATTCTCATGAGCTCGTCAAACACAATTCAACACTGCCAGAAGATAATTTCTAGATCTGGGGGACATTCAGACATAGCTTGGGACCTGATAAAAACACCACAGGCCACCAATCTCTTATTCCTCACTCTTACTTACCACTCTGGGGTCCCCTCTGATGGAAAGGAAAGGAGAAAGAACAGAACCGATGCTTTACTTCACACTTTCAAATAACACTTTCAAGCAAGCTACAGGAGAATAATTACCAAAAACCTCAAGAGAAATGGAAGAACTGGGGAAACAGCAAGTATAATTTCACTCTGCAATACATTAGCCAGCATAGTCTTCACTCTCAGAAACCACAGCAAGAGATGTCCCAAGCACATATCCTGTCAAACAAAGGACCAGCAGGCCAGGCTCAGCTCCATTACTCTTTACCCTCTATGGCTGCCTCTCACCTTCCTCATTTTGAAAATCAGGGTGCCCACTTTCTCAGGGAAGAAGACAGGCCTAGAGCTGCATCAGAAAACCACAGGTATTATTCAATCCCAGTTAATAGTTGGTATCACTTTTGTTTAATCTTTGTAGTAGGATACAAAATATAAGTTGAGGACATCTATGATGAAACACAGGCATCCCACAGGTAGAGGCTGAATCTGGAAACAGAAGATTTTTCACTCACAAGTGGCCTGGGTACCCAATTCCAAATGCCCCTATCACTATGGAAACATTTTAAATCAAGCTACTTCTTTAGAAATACCCCCTTTTAAGAAAGCTACTGAAATTACTACCCAGCTACTGGCAGACCTCCCATTTGGACATTGCAGATGGCTTATTTGCATATTATCGTTCTAGTTGATGACTGTTTGGGGGCTATGGGAAGCAGCAGATGGGTGGCAAACTTTTTTTTTTTTTATGTGTCACTCTGGCAAGTAACCAGGCTAATGAGTAATCACTAAATAATAATCTTTCGTAACAACTCATAATGAAAATTCATTAAAAGGTCACAAGAAAAAAATCAGTTTATAAATATAGAAAATTTCAAAATGACAAAAAAAGAAAGAGCCTGATCCTACTTTTCCCAAAATTTACATTTGGGAACAATCCAAAAAAGTCCAATCCATGGCTCTGAAGGCAGGACTTGGTTACTTCAAAAAACTTACACAAAATAGGGACATTGTCAGGGGAAAATTGAGGTGGAAAAATATAGAACTTAAAGGTTGGCAAGTAAAATTTTTACTGGGCTAAGTAGAAAACAAAGTAGAAAATTGAGACAATTACTGGCATAATTCCAGTCAAAAAGTCATCCTAATTTTGCCCAAAATAACTAGATAATTTAAAGCAAAATTTGTTTTCATCCTGAATTATCCACATAATGGCTTTAATTATCCATCACTTATCACATAGAGACAGGCAAAATGCACAATGATAAACAGGCATCTTCTAGTGAATTCCAGGTGTCTCTGCTGCTATCAGTCAGACTTAATCTCAAATAAATGTAGATATCATCCTGGCATCAAATCTTTCAGAATTAAAGAACAATGATTATCATCTCCACTTTCTTATCTGATTAGATTTATAAAAATTATTGCCAATGTTATGTGTGAATCAGGTATTGATCGTAATGAAATAAAGACACAGTATACAATGTCATTTTATGATTGTGAATACAGAGTATGTTATGAAAAGTAAGAAGTGAATTATGGTGTCACAGTGATCATCAGAACAACTTTTAACCCACCGGCTGATTAAGAGGTAAAACTGGCATATACTTGGTGGACATAAATTAGCAGTAGAAAGTAATTTTGCAATATGTACTAAGATTCAGTAATTTTAGTTCTGATCTGCCTCCAAAGAAATAATCCTGAATGCTGACAGTATTTTATGCACAAAGATATTCATGTAAAACTATCCAGAATAAAGAAAAAAAAGTCACAAACTATTTATTCAAAGGTTATTGATTATGCAAATAATGGCACAATCATACTACCAAGTTGTCTATAGATATTAAAGGGAGTTTTTAAAAGGGCATCCAAATGACTCAATTTTTTATGTCTGATACATGAAAACTACAGCGACCAATTAAAATTTTGTCAACGTCTTTAAAAGTTATAAAACTTTCACATAAACTACACATTGTAAATATCGAAAGAAAATCATTTTCTGATGACTACGAGGGCAAATCTGGTGAGCTTCAAAGCTAAGTCCCCAATAGCGTGGAGATAATGACCTTCTGAGTATCTCCATCTTTCAAATCCCTCCAATCTAACCAATCCTTTCCCCAAATTTGCTCCTCTCTCCTCCCTAGCCTTCCCCAACTAATGTTACCAATGTCTAGCAAGTCACTCAAACTAGAAAACCTAGTCTTGTCCCTCTTCCTTCACATCCAATCATCAAATCTGATGAATTTCCTCTTTCAAAACCTTTCTGATCTCTTTATTTCTCTCCACCCCGACTGCTGGCCCGTCAGCTAAAGTCACCACTGTTTCATGCCTAGAGTACTGCACCAATCCACTAAAGGCTGCCCCTCCAACTAGCAGAGTCAGGCTTTGCCTGGATTCAGATCCTGATTCTGTCACTTAGTAGCTGTTTGTGATCATGTTACTTTCCTTCTCTGTGTTTCAGTCTCATCAGTTACCTTGCAATAATAATAGTACCTACCTCAAGGGGCTGCTGTGAGGGTTAAATGAGTTAATATACATATAAACAATTAAAACAGTGCCTGACACCTAAGAAGCACTTACAACCATCTGCTATTATTGTTATTATAAACTTGATCCTCACTGCACCCCCAACACAAAGTGCAGTGTGTGGCACATATCCCCTAATGCCAGATACCTTTATTTCTGCCGACTCTTCATAATAATGTGAAATGGAGCTGCAATTTAACTTCATGAATCAACCTGAAAAGAAATGGTTATCAAATTTAATTTTCTTTTGAAATTTAAAGTTTCAAAAAACAGTTGTTCCAACTACTTAATTGGGGTGCTTTTTCCTGGGAAATTTTTATTTTTACCTCTAGCTTCCTGACAAATTAAAAAATTATACTAAATGTTGTCATCTGTCCATCTTCTCAGAAAACACCAAGCTTTCATATCTCAGAATCAGAAATCAGGGGAAAAAAATATTTTAACACTCAAGCTGATGAGGGTGAAATACTAGTGGAAGTATAATATGTTATGTTTTGCAGCATATATGAAAAGTCTGTAAAAAGTTACACAGGCTGGCTCAGCAATTCCCTTTAAAAATATTCCCTAAAGAAGTAACCAGAGATGTAAACAAATGTTTATATACGAACGTGTTCGTTTCATGCCAATGTTCTATTGTGAAAAAGTGAAAATAGCCTAAATGTCAAAAATAGAAGATTCTTTAAATAAATATGGTTTACTCAACTCTTATTTTAACTGGCGAAGCAGCCATTTAACAATCAGACTTTTGAAAAACATTTAACAAATATTTATGTGAAACTACAGAGAGTGGGGCAAAGGGGTTGGCGAGAGCGCTGCGAGGAAATACAACCAAATACAAACAGCGGCTTTCTCTAACTACTGAGATTAGCGACTATAGTCTTCTCTGTGCCAGAGTTCAAAGCCCGTTTCTGCAATTATAGTAGGAATGAGATCTTGACTCTGTTACTATGCCAGTTTCCTCACTTGTAAACAACAACAGAATTCTGAAGCTTAAATTAGTTAATACATGTAATGTGTTGAGAACAGCCCTGGCACACAGTAAGCACTGCAGAGATGAAATTCTTCTCAATAATCCTATGTCATTTTTGGAATTTAAAAAATCAATACACATTACTAATACTTCCTCATTTCTTAAAAGAAATCAAATGTGGCAAAAATTTAGACCAATATATAAATCCACCCATCCCTTATCAAAAACTTTTGAGGCTTGAAGTATTTCCAAATATATAACTTCAAATTTTTAGAAAGATGATACAATGCATTGAGCATTCTATATAAAATCGTAAGAAAGGTCTTCAATCAAACACACTGACTATGACACAGAGCAGGTGAGGTTTTACTGCTAAATAAGTTATGAAGAAACTATAATTTCAGAACTTTTAAATTGAGAAATGTGACTAAGGGATCCTGAATCTAGATTATCAAATGTTAGCATCATGGTAATATCAGCAGTCCAAAATGGCACATGGCTGGATTATAAATCGCTTCAGATGCTTGAACAAAGAATAATGACAATTTACTAAGACCTCAACTCTGGTAGGGTTCCACTAGAGCAGGTTTATCAACAGGGTACTACTTACATTTTTGGACTGGATAATTCTTTGTTGTGGTGTTCTGTCCTATGCACTGTAGAATGTTTAACAGGAACCCTGTTCTCTACCAAATGCCAACAGCACCTTGCCAGTTATGAAAACCAAAAATTCTCCAGACATTGCCAAATATCCCTGGGATTAGAAGTAGCAGGGAGTCAAAAATCATCCTAGGTAAAAAAAAAAAAAAAAAAAATCCACCGCTTTCCTCTCTGTATTCCACAACAGAAATCCAAACTGCAACTTCCCCTGGAATGCTGATGATTTCTTCGCCCCCTATAATATCCCAAACCCCAGTCAAAATGAACTTCTTGCTTTTGTATCCAAGTACAATATGAGTCTGCAACTCCAGGCTTTAGTTCACACTGGAATCCACCTCAAATGCCTGATCCCACCTGCCTTCATGCCTCCTAAGAGAAGATGGTCCTGACATACGGCTTCCCGAATAAGGCGTGTCTCACATTAAAGTATTGAAACCAGAGAGGTGAACAAGCTACAGGTGTCCAGAAACATGACTCCAAAGGCAAGCAATCTGTCAGATGAAAAACCGAATGTTTGGCTAGTTTTCATTATCTATGAAAGTGGGGAGGACAGGGAGGAATCACACAGGTCATCATTTCCCAAACTGGTTTCTCCCAGAAACTGTCCTGACAGATGTTAATAGGCATCTTGAAAGATGTGATGCTCAAGTAAATCTAAAAAATTATCTTTAACAGTTTGTTGTTAAAACCATGTAAGTACCTTGTCTTTAATATGCTAATTCTTTCATGAAGCTCCAAGAGTAAGTAGAGAACACTGCATTTCCCAAGCTTATTTGGCCATTAAATCCTGTTTTCCTTCTTCGAATAATGTTGACTTGCCTGATGAGGGTTCCAAGGAGCACCAGTCTGGGAATCAATGACAGAACCCTAACCTCCAGGGACAATCCTAAAACAACCTTTCAGCTATTGGTTTCCATATCTTTCTAAACAAGTCTACCTATGTGCACAATTTTATAAATCGCAGCATTGTTCAAAAGAGCAAAGTGAAAACATCTTAAATATACACAAATAGCACACTGGTTAATACAACAGAATACTACCCAACGTGAGACAACTGAGATGCTCTCAGTGTACTGATACAGAAGAATCTACAAAGTACATGAAAACAACCAGATAGAGATAGAATATTATGTTTTCATATGCCACTATTTACATGAGAAAGGAAGGAAAGGAAATTAAAATAACATATACAAGGTTGCCAACATATGCACGGATATCTGCAGAGAAACATGCTAACAGTAACACTGGCTGCCTCTGAGGAAGAGAACTAGCCAGGGGAGAAGCAGAATAGAGACACTGATGTCTAACCTTTTGTACTATTCTGACTGTATTATATATTCAGAAAGAAAATTAAAGTTAAAAATAAATATAAAAACCAATTTTACCAGTCTCTTTAGAATATAAATTAAAATTAAGATGCAATTATCTACTAAAACTGCAGGCTCTATTAGTAAAGAGGCAAAACGAGGAACTTAATCAATGATATGATTCGGAAGGCTGATATCTTTTTTTTTTTTTTTTTAATAATAAATAAAAGCGAAAATAGGTTTTGATAAAGCAGTAACAACATCCCATTCCCCTTCATGATTTCATAAAGATTCATCATCTAGCTATTCACTTTGCTCTTTCATTCGTAGCTCCTCCAACTCCCAGACCCTCCTCCTCCACCAATCCACAGATTTAAAAGTAAAAATACCACCTCCACGAAAATTACAACGGCTTCTTTTATTAGTTTAGTACATATGGATTTCATTTTGGCAGATTCCTCCTTGTCGATTCCAATTTTCAAAAAGTATCACCAGAACCAATTAGCTACAGTTAAAGCTGTACCATATATTAGGTTTTCCCCCAGTGGAACAAACTACAGCTGCCACTTTCCTGAAAAATGGGTCACTGATTCACCGTGTATATCATAGAAAGTCATCATGCCTCTTTGCTGGCATTGTATTTCCTTAAAAAAGAAAACATAAAGCTTCCTAATTTATCTTTTTCACAGGAACCTAAGTACATCACCCAGTGTGTGATACAGGCTTATACAAAATAGCTTAGTAAATAAACTTTCCTCAAAACATTAAGGCTAATGTAGGATAAATTAAAAATGGGTAACTCTCCACTACTAAACAAAGATCTCATTAATTAAGGAGACCTGGAGAAAGAATACTCGCTGCCTCAGAATTTCGAGTCCCATAAATACCTCTCTGGGTCCTGCCACTGAGCATAATTTTAACTTTCCCACTCAGAGAGCTAAAACCTGCCATGGAGTAGAGAAAGTAAAATGGTGTGAAACTATTTTTTGAGCAAATTATCAACTGACAAAAAATGATTACACTGATATTTGACTAAGTTCTACAAGGTCGGTGCTAAAATTTTTCTATCGAAAATAAACTATTATTTTCTAAGTTTTTCGCAATGAGCACATACTAATAGAGGAAAATAAAAAGTGTCGTAAGGGGAAAATTCAAATATGGAAAGATTACACGTTTTTAAACAGTAAATTTATTCATGGAAAACACAGGTGGTCAATCATATGGTTTTATTTGAGAATTTCTAAAATGTCCCGGAAAACACTTTTGGCAAAACAGACTCTGGGCAGGTCCATAGCCTCAACCAGTTGGTAGGCACCAGAAAGTCAACCTCTGATTCACCAAATTGTGTAAGAAACACTCAGCAATGAGTTGCTACCAGCCACTGGCACCTATAAGCAGACAGCACACAGCCAGTGTCTGGAGTAGTTAGGAGGGGCTGCAAGGGCAGATGACCCTCAGAGCAGGGAGGATAGGGCATTCTCAGATAGACCAGATGGGGCACACACATTAATGGCAGCAGGGTATCTCTGTGAGTCCCTGGTGGCCAGAAAGTTTGCCCATATACCTGGAAATGGTGCTGTATAGCCACTGGATACAGGGAAATTTGAATCTTAACCTTTCTGGGGCTCAGTTTTTCCATTTATAGAAGAGCAGTGGTATAAATGATAATAATACTAATACACAGCTCACAAGGTTGTTACATGTACATAGTGTTTATATAACACTCCCTGATATATGAGGTTCTCGATGAATGTTGACTGCCTGCTATTTTTCCAGCATTTGACCTATTACAAAAAATAGCTATCCTGTCCCAATTCCAGGGACACCAAAGATACTGACACAAATCTTTAACAGGCCAGCCCATCCTGCTCCCTGAAATCCAGCCAAGTCAATTTCCTTGACATAAGGGTTCAATCCTATCTTTTCTATTTCCTCCAACAGTGGGGTCTAGCTAACCCAGTCATGCTAATTTCCAAAATGATAAAAGACAATGATTTTAACCTTTTTTTAATCTTCTCAGAAACCATCCATTTTCATCATTAGAAACACAAATGCACATACACACAACAGCAACTTTGTCAGGATGTTGAGGAAGAACAGAATGCTTGTGATTTGCTTAAAATGATCAACACCTAGAAGAATAGTAGTCAGGTTAAAGAAAGAACCGTATATCCCAAAGAGATCTGTTAAGAAAGCATGTCCCCAAAAGTTAAAAAGATAGATAAATGGCATTTTGCCCAGAGTCTTCTCAAACAAAGCTAAATAATTGAGTCTACCCA